GAAAGTCTGTCGAAGTATAGATGGTTTTATGGATTCTAAGGTTTTAGTTTGTTATTATCATCATAGATGCCATCGATCCAGTCGAACCTCACTGTTGATGGTAACAAATTAGATTCGAAGCGTTTGTAGATTTATTTGTACTAGACAGTCGATTTGTTTGCATGTTATATCTTTTCTCGATTAGATTCATCGGCTCAGTGACTCACACCGGTAATATCCACCTAACTGATGATTTCTCTAACATCTACGGGCATTGTACCTATCAACATAAAATCAATCGCGATCCATATGCTCTACTATCCATAATAGCCGATTTCTGTGCGTATCGGCTATTTAGTCGATTTTCTCGTCTGACTACTCCCGAAGCGGCACACTTGGAACTGTCTGGGCAAAGACCGGCATGTTCCACCTTAAATTACTGATAAACTTTCTCTTCTTGTCAATTGCAGGTCAAATTGACTGGCACGCCTCGGGAGGAATTCGCAGGATCGGTTAACCCTGCGTTGAAGCCAAGCGGATCTCCGGGCTCATCCTAAGCAGATCCTTCCGGCTTGCTATGTGTCGACACGTTTTTGCGTCAACAGTTTATCATTTCATGTGTGTTTTAATTTTTTTAAAACTCAAGAACTTGTTTTGCTAATTTCTCTCGGGCCTCAATCTCGGTGCTTAGCAAGCTCGTAACACCCGGGGTGTTACAATGTTGAAGATGATGTTGTGCGCTCCTCGCCAACCCCTCTTGGCTGGTTCTTGTGAGAAATTATTTTGTGTGGTTGAGTTGAACGTCGCAGGCATGGTAGATGTCAAAAATGTCATAAATGGAGATCCTTCCGATCCGATTGGTGGCGAAAGCGGCGCTTTTAGATTATTTTGGAGCTGACCCCCATACCTTTCGAGGCGAGGAGAGGCAAAAGGAGCCACTCGGCGATTTTAGATTATTTCGGCGCCAATCCCCGTACCTTTTGATGCGGTGAGCGAAGGGTCACGAAATGAGCCCCGCTATGCTAGCTTTTAGATTACTTTGGCGCCAACCCCTCACACCTTTTCGAGTTTTCGGGTGAGGGGCGAAGGGTCGCAAAATGAGCCCCTCGGTGCTAGCTTTTAGATTACTTTGGCGCCAAACCCTCACACATTTTTGGGTGAAGGGCGAAGGGTCGTGAAATGTGCCTCTCGATGCTAGGGTTTATGGTTTAGAGTTTATTGTTTAGGGTTAAGGTTTAGTGTTTAGGGTTTAGGATTTAGAGTTTTAGGGTTTAGGGTTTAGGGTCAAGGGTTTATGGTTTAGGGTTTAGGGTTTAGGGCTTAGGGACTGTTCTTGAGCTCAAGGAAGACTTGTATGAGTTGTGGTTCATTTCTAGGAGCTTTAGACACCAAAGTGCTTAGTGATACACTAGGTGATTATTGTTGTTGCTCTAGGTTTAGGCGTAGTGTTTTGTGAGGTTTGCTCACCGCTTGCAATATGGTGCTTGCGTGCACCGGGCTTGTAGTCCACTTATCCTCCCTAGTGAACTGAATTGGGTACTCGGACTAGTCCATGTACCTTGGAGTTTCGGGCTCAGGAGCCATGATCTTGTGGAGAGTAAGCTTATCCTACCTTTTTCGATGATGAGGCAGCTACCCCTCTGAAGATGAGGTGAACAACCTTGCCGACTGGCTCATACTCTCCTCCTTTGTCGCCTCTGCCTTGGTGGTCTTGATCATCCTTGGCTTTATCCATGGGCTTGCTATTGACGATAATTTTGTCATGGTTTTACATAGTCAAAATCGTCAACAAAGTGTCACCCTTTGAAGGAAATGAGCATAACATGATTGAATTTTGTTCAAATAACTTTAGTCCCTGGATGTCCCAAAAATAATGCAGTTCTGTAATTCAGTTCTCACATTTCAAGAAGTCAACTTATTTGAATTTTGACCAAGATTATATAAAAAAGTACTAATATTTATAATATAAAATAAATATCATTAGATTACTTACGGAATGTATTGTCATAATAAGCTTATTTAGAGACAAATGTTAAAGTAAAATACACTATGGGTCCTCGAACTTTTGAGGCATTCTATCTGGGTCCTCAAACTAAAAAAACGACTTATGCTGTCGCACACCAATGGTTCAAACCCCGCCACGCCAGCGCCAGCATCTGACATGGCCATGCCGCAGCTGGACGTGGTCCGGGAAAGGGACGATGGCGACGAGCGCCCACGCGGTGGAGGCTAGTGGCGGTGGTGATGGGCTCGTCCGTGCGCATGGCTCCACCGTTGCATGCTCGCCGTCCCCTTCCACATCGAGCTAGGTGGGTCGCGGATCCGGTTAAATCTCCGAGCTAGGGCGGCGGCGGGCATGGCGTCATGGCGGCGTGTTCGTCGTTGCTGGCGACGAGAGCACTCGTGCAGCTCGGCTATGGCGGAGCGGCAGCGAGGCGCGTCTGCGTGCATGGTAGTGCGGCGCAGTGAGGTCATGGCAGCGGCATGCCGCGTTCCAGCATGGTCACGGCGCCTACGCTTAGCTGCCGGCAGCGACGACGACGGCGAGGCGGGGAGGTCGCGCTAACGCTTGTCCAGCCCGGCCCCAGCGCGAGGCGACTCCGCGTTGTCCGCCCCATTGTCGCCGACGACTCGTCGGATACGCTTGATTTCAATGTCTAAATACAGTGTATGTACGTATGCATGGGCTCTGTTGAACCCTTGCCCGTGATCTTATATACACGCACGGATGGCGAACGCACGGGATCCCTTCATGGCGATTGCCTTCTCGCCGCCGTTGTGCAGCAGCGTGCCCACTGCCCCGGAATACCGTGCTGAACGCACCGCCGCGCCGCCCAAGGACACCCTGCTCCCGGGCCAGGACCTCGTCCCCGGCGCGCAGCTCTTCTCCAGCGCCTTGCCCACCGACAGCGCCACGGGGAGGTAACGCCTCGCCAACCAGCTCAACAACGGCAACCTTCCTGTACCCCATCCAGACAGAGAACACCGCGGATGCTACGTACAAGGCCAAATTAGCGATCTTTGCAGCTGTGATGTCTTGATTCCCGAGCGGAGCAGCAGGTCACGGGCGCACATAATACTCGATACTCCCTGTCCCGAATCGAGAGCGAGGCAGGGCGGAGCGAGGTCGAGGGAGAACGGCCACGCGCGAGCGCGCGTCCGGCGGCCATGGCGGCTGTCGCGCCGAGATTTGGCCCGGGGGCCTCTACCTTGGATGAGCGGCGGCGCAATCTGGTGGAGAGGGTGGAGAAGGCCTTGGCGCAGCTAGAGTGTCGGGGAATCGGACAATAGTGAGACGGCGGTGGAGAATTTGGCGAGTGCAGTTTGTCGGCGTCAATGGCGGTGCTCTGGAAAAGGGCAGAGAGGAAGAGCAGAGCAGCCCAGCGCTGCTCCTCATTCTTGCCCGCGCTGGGGCGAGGTGGCAAGCCGCGCGCACGATGCCGCAGACGAGAGCCGACGCTCTGCCTCACGCCCAGGCCGCCGCGGGCACGCACTCGGACATCGCTGCCCCGTCACGCACGGCCACTACTGCCATACCATTGCCTCCCCTTGACCACGCGGATACTCTGCGCCGCCGTCGCTCGCGAGCGCGGGCGGGCCTCTGCCGGCCATCAATTGTGCCGCCACCACGTTGCCGTCGCCCGCCGCCCCTGCTGCCGCCATGCGCCCGCGTGTGCACCCGGGCCCGGGCCAGCTCACCGGCCACGCCACACCGCCGACCCGCGCCCACGGCCGGAGTAGCCGCCCGACGGCCTCCTTGTTTTGTGCCCGAACCATAGCAGCGCGCTGCAGGCCTACCACCTGCCACCATGGCTTGGGCACAGCATTAGGTGCCACTGTGGCATGGCCGTGTCAGATGAGGCCTCGTTCGGCTGGTCTGAAATTTAGCTTGATCGGCTTCTTTTTTTTAGTCGAAACAGTGTTTGTCTCTCACAACATTTTAGCCAGAACAGTGTTTTCAGTCAGTTTCAGCCAAGTTTCAGACCAGCGAACGGGGCCAGGCATGGCGGGTTTTGGACTGCGGGTGTGCGACAGGAGTAGATTAGGGACATAGATGGTCGTCTTTTTAGTTCAAGGACCCAGATGGTAATGGCTCAAAAGTTTGAGTACCCAGGGTGCATTTTACTCTAAAGGCCTCGTTCGCTTCGCTGAAAAAACAAGTCTAAACACTTTTCCGACTGATTTGTTGTGAGAGAAAAACACTGCTCCGGCTGAAAAAACAAGTTGAAAAGTACGGATTACAAGAGAAACGAACAGGGCATAATGTTAATACTATTTACTATAAATTTGGTCAAATTTGAGCTTATTTGACTAGGTGCATTTTACTCTAAATGTTAATACTATTTACTGTAGATTTGGTCAAATTTGAGCTTATTTGACTGGTACGAATCCTATGATTGTATTTTTTTTTTGCTCTATTCGCTTGTCTTATAATCCGTATTTTTCAGCTTGTTTTTTCAGCCGATACAATGTTTTTCTCTCACAACAAATCAGCCAAACAGTATTTCGCCTTGTTTTTTCAGCGAAGCGAACGGAGCCTTTGAACTGAGGGAGTTTAAAGCGTTTGGCTTTTATAAAGTTCCTACGGATGTGATGCGTTCTGAATGGCGACTTCAAATCAAAGACATAATATTATCACAGAGATTTACACTCATCTTCAATTTTACATCCAAATAGCTGCGCAAGAACAGAATCATGGATTCATTTGGTCTATTACAGTAATTACTAACAATTCTTGCAAGATCTTGATCTACACCTGTTGCACCAGGGTTCGATCAGTGAAATGGCGACATGTGACAGCTTAACCCTCAGGTGCATTAGATCAAGATTTCGAGTGAGCAACAGAATCAACTAAAACATGAACTCTTCAGTTGCACCGGCAACAAAATGAAATTTAATATCGTAATAAACACCTCACTACCTAGCACATCATATCTAATGTGCATAATTATTACATTACATATGTCAATAATGTCAATGTCATGGTTGACATTATAAGCCAGGGGAAGTTGAATCACCCTCTAAACAGAGACTGTCCGCGGCTTGGCGCCCATCTTCTTCCACGACACGCTGGGCATGATCTGTGCTGTGTCGACCCGGTCCTTGTATTGGATGGCAAAGTTGAGAAGTGAGTCGAGCAGGGAGTCCGAGAGCAGGTGGGGAACCAAGCCGAGCTCAATGAGCTTTGTGTGCTTGGCGTTGTAGTAGTGCTCCTCAGCCTCGACTCGTGGGTTGGGCACTGATTTGGTCTGCACTTCTAGCCCAAGCTTCGCTCCTGCGGCTGTCACCAGTTTGGCTAGCTCATTGACAGAGAACTGCTCGGTGAACTGGTTGAAGACTCTGAACTCGCCAGGTTTTGCTGGGTTGGCAATTGCTAGCTCAACGCACTGTACAGTGTCTCTGATGTCCAGATATCCCCGGGTCTGGAGCGGACAGGAACAAAAAGTTTGTTCAGTAAATTTATGCCACACTTTGATGATTAAAAGTAATTTCAAGTGGTAACTGAAAGTACAATGTTCAATTAGATCTTGCTGTCCTGTATGGTTCTTTGATAGCTAATGACTATGAGATAGTCGCTTTTGCATGTGATATTTCAAGAATGGTGTTTGTATGTGTAAGCACAGCCTATTACATTACTCATTAAAAATTGTGGCTGACAAGCTTAGGAGAACTACAAAGTACTGCAGTAGGCCCAACGGAGTCTCCAGTTCGGAATACCATGTGAGGTAAAGAAACTGTTGTGGACTTCTTCTCCTAGACAGGTGATCTTAAGAAAATCAGTGAGGTCTTCAGAGTAACACAATCAGGATATATAACCAGCAGGTTACCAAATCATTATTGTTTGGAGCATTTAGCAGAAACAAAAAAAATGACACAAATTCAATTTCAATACTTGCTGAGCTAGAGCTAACATGATTTCGAGTTCCCAAAGATTTATGAGAAGATGCAAGAGGTGATTTCAACCACTGCTTGCTGGCATTTTAAGTACTGATGCACACTAACAATTTCAACCACATGCATATTTCTAAAGAGGGGGGGTAGTAAAGAATAGTCCGTATAAATAAAATGAGCAGTTCCATATTTGACACAGCAATATAACAAGACATACCTGACCACCTTTTCCATAAACTGTAAGTGGATGGCCTACAGCAGCCTGAACACAGAACCTATTTAGTGCTGTCCCAAAGACACCATCATAGTCAAATCTGTTAGATAGCTCTTCATGCATTGCAGTTTCATCTGTTCTGACCCCATAGACTACACCTTGGTTAAGATCTGTGGCCCTTATACCCCAAGCCTTGCAAGTAAATGCTATGTTGTGGGAGTCATGCACTTTGCTTAGATGGTAGAAAGAGCTCGCTTGTTTTGGATAAGGCAAGGTGTCTGTTCTTCCATTGTGAGTAATAGTGATAAACCCCTCTTCAATGTCAATGTTTGGTGTTCCATACTCACCCATAGTTCCTAGCTTAACCAGATGGCACTCTTCACTGTATTCCTTCATGGCAAACAAGACATTAAGTGTCCCAATGACATTGTTATGCTGTGTGTAGACTGCTCGCGAACGATCAATCATAGAGTATGGTGCAGATCTTTGCTCACCAAAGTGAACAGCAGCATCCGGCTCAAAAGACTTGAAGGCTTCCGAGAGGAATTCAAAATCACATATGTCACCAATAAAGAGCTGAATTGTCTTACCAGTGAGAGACTTCCATCTACGGATGCGATTTTGAATGGATGTTATGGGGGTAAGGGAATCAAGACCAAGTTGGTGATCAAAAAGACGGCGAACAAGATTATCAACAATAGCAACCTCATAACCTTTGTTTGAGAGATGAAGAGCTGTTGCCCACCCACAGTATCCATCTCCACCAATAACCATTACCTTTTTAGGCTTGGAGGATGAATGCTCATAAGCTTGCTGGCTACCAGTAAGAGGTGTTTGTGTCTGTCCTTGTACGGCTGCACTAGCACAAGTAACATATGGCTTCTTTTGTCTCCTGGAACAAGATTTGAGGGACAGGTTTGAACATTTTGAGTTCTGTAGTTGGCCAACACTGCGGCAATAATTAGGAGAACTGGAGAATGTCTGAACAGCAGATGTACTGAAACTACAGTTAGTGATCAAGTGCGCCATTTTCATAATCCTTTCTCTTTGAGCTTAAAGCTGTAAACGCCCTACAGAGTAGTAGACAGAAATTAGGGTCAGTAAAGGAGGGAGGAAAACAAAGTAGATACCAAATAGAGTAGTACAAGATGAACATATGCAGAAAAACATCAGAAGTTAGAATAGAGTAGTACAAGATGAACATATGCAGAAAAACATCAGAAGTTAGATAAGAGAAGTGAAGAACACTACTTCCTTCAATCGACAACATATAACTTGTATTAGTTCCTGTGGACTTGCTTAGCCTTGTGAACATGTCTCTAGATTTGCGGTGTGATATACAGATTCAAAGACACATTTATCCCAATTAACTACTATACCCTTTTTTGAACGAAAGCTGATGCTCCCATCAATAACTGAGACCTCTTTCCCAATCTCACTTCTGCAAGCATATTTAAGACAGCAGTACTTTTCAGCGAACAAATAGTGTTTTTCTCTCACAACAAATCAGCATAAGCATCAACATAAGCCAAATTTCAGGGAAACGAACAGGGCCACTAAAGTTTTGGAATAAATGAAATAACACTGAGTTTATTATATCTTCCTCCTTAATGCATGCACCAGAAATGCCGAGTTTGCTATAATTCGAGTGTAGTCATATACATTCAACAGTGCTTTATGTTCAAAAGAAAAGGAGAGTAAGGACAGCCATAAAAGGCAACTCAAAATATGTTAGCGGCAAGCCAGCTAGTCCGTCCAGTCTGCACTCTGCAGCTCTTCACACTTGTGTTCAGTGGAGACTAATTAAATCACGTGACCTATCGTTGAACATAGATGAAAAGCACACCATAATATGCCAATGATCACATCGTCCAAATGCTTGCGCTGCAGTTGGTGAAAACCCAATTCTTTGCCGGTCTGCGTGTAGACAGGACCAGCTGCCAGCTCCAGGCTCACAGCCAGTCATCACACTCAGATGCAGTGTAGAGAACGCTGCCCCCAAATTAATAGCTGTTCTCAATCTCCACAAGCCACCGTTGAGGTAGGCATCCACTCAGCACGAGAGCCGTACTTAACAGGACATTGACATCACTACTGCCACCGTCGAGGTAGTCATCCACTCAGCACAAGAGCCGGACTTAACAGGACATTGATTCGGTTAAAACTTTAAACCCCAAACACTTGGGTCGCTAACTGCAAGCGAATCTGCAGCAAGCTGGATGTAGAGATTTGAATATAGGAGCTCGCAGCAAATAAAAGAATCCGCCAAACAGAAGGAGCAATCCATCCGAGCAAGGTAGCGAGTGCTTACCAGTAAAGGAGGGGACAATCCACGTCCGGATTCTTTAGGGGACGAGACGAGGACGGCTGCGAGAGGGAGAGGAGGAGGAAGAGGAAGGCGGAGCGGGAGAGGGGGATTGGAATGGATGGATATCATATCAGCGGGGGAAGCGAGCACAGAGGAGGAGCGAGTAGGATATTCGCTATTCGGGGGTGGTGATTCGAATCCACTGCGGCACAGCGCAACCTGCCGCCTGGCTGCGAGCGGATGGGTTTTGGCACCGATTTTTTTTCTTTTCTTCTTTTATCATTATCTCCACCCCGTGCTGACATGGATCCAGTGCAGTTGCTATAGCGACTGTAACTTTAGCAGTCCCACCATCCTGACCGTCCATAGCGAATCGTAGGACAAAGCATGGATGGTTTCATCTTACCCACTTTACTAGTCTCGACGCCTATCTTCTCTGCTATTTAGGAGAAAAAATCAGAAGTTTGGTGTCATTTTTTCTGTTTGCTCGGAACGGAGCCGAGGCGATCGCGAGGGAGGCCGGTGAGCGGCCTCGCCATGGAACCACCGGGGCCACCTCCGCCATGGGTGCGCGTTGTCGGACCTGCCTTGCCTTCTCCTCCGTCTCTTGTCCCAACGCCTGTCCCCGCGAAGCATGAAGGTGCCGTCGCGGCTGCTGGCACTGCGCGTGCTGGAGCTGCTGTCCTCCCGCGCTCTCATTCCGTCGGTCGTGGAGGCACCAAGGTGTTCGCGCCGGCGCCAAAGAAGACAGGTGCGATGAAGAAAGCCAGTGATGTTCAGCCTCCCCAAGCTCCTCTACGATCTGCAGCGGCACCGAGGACGCCGACGAGTGCTGAAGAAGCCATAGATGCTGTTGCAATGGATGACGTCCAGCAGCTGCTCGAGGAATTGCCTACAAGGTTTGTGCTCGTCTTGTAGTTAGCCTTGTTAGTTATTAGCTTCTGCATAGTTGAAGTTCTACTGCAAATGAACAAATGTTGTTGGTCATGTTCTGAATGCATTATTTATAACTACAGAGTTGCTGCAATTCCTTTTTGATCCCACAAATTGGTATGAAATTTAGCAGTTTCGATGAAGCTTGGGACTTTTGGGTTACATATGGTGGCCGGATTGGTTTTGATGTTCGAAAGTGTTACACAAACACGAGTACTCTTGATGGATTGGTAACATCGAGTAGGTTCGTTTGTTCAAATGAGGGTTGTCGAGCTGAAAATAAAAGTTCTGTGTCAGCAAGCGTAATCGAGCTCATACCAGAACAGGCTGTAGAGTTTGCATGGGCATTACTTTTGAAAGAGAAAATAGGACTTACAAGGTACATGACTTGTTTATCGAGCACAACCACATTCTCCAAACTGCTCAAACTAGTCATTTGATGCCATCACAGAGAAACATTGGTAAGCATCAATCTATTGATATTGAGGTGGCTGATGATTCTGGTATTGCACCTAACGCAGCACATGAGTTTCTTGGTCGATATGTTGGTGGATCAGCTAACCTCGGGTACACCCATCGTGATCATAAGAATTATTTGCGTACTAAACGTCAAAGAGAGATGTTGTATGGTGAGGCTGGAAATTTGCTAAAATATTTTCAAGATAAAGTTGTGGAGAATCCCTCATTTCAATATGCAATACAAATGGACTGTGAAGAGCAGATATCCAATATATTTTGGGCTCATGCAAAGATGATTGTTGACTATGCTCACTTCGGCGATGTCATCACATTTGACACTACCTTTGGAACCAACAAAGAATATAGACCATTTGAAATCAGGTCTTGACACCATTAGGTTCCTAAAGCGTGTGGAGCATGTTGTTCAAGACCAGAGAGATAAAGAGTTACAAGCTGAATTTGAATCTAGAAAGACGCAGCCAAGGATTAGGATGATGGCACGTATATTGATACAAGCAAGTATGATTTATACACCTCCAATATTTGAAGTCTTTCAAGCTGAATATGAAAAGGCTTGGCTGCCTACACAAGTTCAAATGCAAGTAATTAATTTGTCATTGCAATTGGAGCTCCTAGAGGGACATTGACAAATGAAGAAGAGTGCAAGGTTATAGTCAACCCAACCGAGGAAATGGTCTCATGTAGTTGTCGCCTCTTTGAGAGAATTGGAATTTTATGTAGGCACGCATTGAAAGGTCTCAATTTGGTGAAAATTAAGCATTTGCCTGAACGATACATTTTGAAACTATGGACTCGAGATGCAAGGTCAGGTATTATCCAAGATATGAATGGGAGGGAAATAGTGGAAAATCCTAAGTTAGATGCTACACTTCGGGACAAAGGGAACCAGAAGAATACAAGCAAACCTGTGCAACAAGAAGATGGAAGTCATGTTCCAGAATCACAAGCATATGAATCAATTTCTAGTTTTACCCAAATTCTTATGGTATGCTTATTACACTTATTTTTTCCATGAAAATAGCATTCTGTGTTTTCACAATAACTTGATATTTTCATACCTGTTTTCTTGGTCTCTGTATCCCTCTCTTTTCAGAGTTCAGATGTTGTTCAAGATGTCAGCAATCCTTACTCCTTGGAAGGGATAGATGGCTGAGAATTTTAGCAAAACTTTAGTGTAAGTATAGGTCAATTATATAAGTTCAATTGACTTGACAAATTATAGGCCCTGTTTGCTGGGAGAAATTTGGAGGAATGGAGGAATTTGTGAGAGAGTGAACAGTGTTTTTCATTCGCGCACAGTAAAATCCGGCTGGTTTTTCAACCAGCCGAACGAGCCCATAATATCTAAACTATTTTTTTGCAGGTTGTGTACTGAAGGCATGGCTTCTATTGGGTGATACAAGTTTTTTATATGAAATGGGAAAGAGAACCTTCTTATGTGCAAAAGGTTCACCATTAATCACTCTCTTTTGTGGATGCAAGGCTGCTGATGGTTGATGCAAGCTTTTGTATATGAAATTAGAAATAGAGAACCTTGGCGTATAGAAAAGGATCTCAGTTTAGCATGTCTTTTGTATATGCAAGCTTTTGTATTAAGCTCTCAGATTGCAGCAAACACATGCAGCTTTGTTCTATTTAATTGGATTATAAGATGTATGCATTCTCTTCTCTGCTCTTTATAATTTCTTCTAAAATAAACAGAGCCTAACAGCAGGACAGCCATGGGGAGGGAAAGAGAAGGAAATATGGCTTTGATCCTAGCCATCCGTGGCTTTTTTGAATGGGTCAGATGGTACTGCATATCTTGCAGTAGCAGTTGTAACTGCATTGTCATGCGTCGCCCTCCCCTTCCCTCTGGTATCCGTCCACCCCCATCCACTGCCCACATGGATTTCCAATGCCGTCTAGTATTTGACACATCGAGGCACGTTGGATTGGAGAGAGAGGGCGATTGGCGAGAATGCGACATGGTCTGACAGTGGACAGCAGAAAGGTACCTGATGACCGCGGTACCAACGGTACCGAGAAACCTGCCGGCCGGAGGTTTGGCCGTCAGGTAACGCCCCCGACTTGCCGGACCTGGATTTCGCCGCGTGCGTTGCGTCCCGCGCTGTTCCTGATTCAGACCCGATGAGGAACAAGGTTTGACCGCTGCTGCCATATTTTCACCAACAGAGGCCAGCTTCTCTGGGCACTTAATCCTGGATTAGCAAGGAACTGACGCCGTCTCGCCGAACTTGGGAACTCAGTTGTTCCGACGAGCCTGGCATTAAAATCGGTGACGCGGGTGCTAGTCACTTTATTTACTTGTCTCCTGTCATTGTTTTTAGACCACTAACGAGAAAATTTGTATTTGCGCGTCTGGCTCGAATGGTGTGCCTAGAGAATACGAGGTTTATACTAATTCGGGCTGAAAGTCCCAACGTCTAGTTCGTCGCTCTTCTCGTAGGGGTTACAAACAGGTGAGAGAGAGATAATCCTAAGTCTCTGGTGAAAGGAGTGAACGGGTGCTGAGAGCTCAATCGCTGCACAGTCGTGTGCTCGTGTCGTGCTCTTGTGCGGATTTAGCCCGATCCTCTTCATGGGGCGCCCTGCTTTTCCTTTTATAGGCCAAGAGAAAGCGCGGGTTACAGCGGAGGAAAAGGAGAAGAACGAGAGAGAGAAAGGCTTCCAGGATCACCAGGTCCTTCTTCTCCTTCATGCGGTCCCGAGGATCCTGTAGATGTCAATAGGGACGGCTCCACGTCGCGGCCCTATCCGTCACTAGCGCCATGCGCAGGCGTCATCTGCCGGTCATGGTGTTCCATCCCGTCCCGGCGGACGTCGTGGTGAGCTGACGCGCTAGTTAGCTTTCATACGAGGGTTAGGCAGAACAACACCGGTACGTCCGACGTTGTTCTTGATGTGAATCCTCAGGTATAGCCCATCATGGCCTCGGATTACATCGAGTCGTGCCTCGTCTCTTCCCTGGTGTCAGAGTTTTGACCCAGGCCTACACGTCTGGACCTGGAGTGGTTGGCGACGATATGGGTCCCCGTCGGGCGAGACGGAGCCCGCGATCCTTGGGGGTCGGACGAGACGGAGCCCACGGCCTTGGGCGAGACCCCCGCGGCCTTGGGATCGGGCGAGACGGAGCCCGCGACCCTTGGGAGTCGAACGAGACGGAGCACACACCCAAGGGTCGGGCGAGACGGAGCCCACGGCTCGGGGTCGGGCGAGACGGAGCCTACGGCCTTGGGCGAGACCCCGTGGCCGTGGGGTCGGGCGAGACAGAGCCCGTGACCCTTGGGGGTCGGACGAGATGGAGCATGCACCCAAGGGTCGGGCAAGACGGAGTCCTGCGTCCTCGTGGTCGGGCGAGACGGAGCCCGTGGCCTTGGGCGAGACCCCCGCGCCCTCGAGGTCGGACGAGACGGAGCCCACGACCCTTGGGGTCAGACGAGACGGAGCACGCGGCCTCTAGGAAGAGCAAGACGGAGCCCGCGACCCTTAGGGGTCGGACGAGATGGAGCACGCACCCAAGGGTCGAGCGAGACGGAGTCCGTGGCCTCGGGGTCCGGCGAAACAGAGCCCGCGGCCTTGGATGAGACCCCCACAGCCTCGGGGTCGGGCGAGACAGAAACTGCGTCCTTAGGGTCGGGCGAGACGGAGCACGTACCCAAGGGGTCGGGTGAGACATGTTAATACGTCTTGATCTGTCCGGCGAAGTCAGCGTGGGTGCTAACTCTCTTACTTTGGGTATCCTTAATATCGATACCCGACAGTAGCCCCCAAGCCTACGGAGGAGTAGAATACTCCTTTGGAGGCTTTTCCGAACGGGAGGACTCTGAGGGCCTTGGCCTTCTTTTTGTAGCCCACGGCGTGTCTCGACGGTTCCCTTTTGTCGTGATCAGACCCCTCAGGGGTATAGCCATGAGATTTGGTGGGTTAGAAAAGGTCTTTCCTGATTCCGATCCCTACGGGGGTCTATCGTTCTACGACCGCGTGTTCGGTCTCCTTGCGAGTCCAACTTTCCTTGAGCCCCCGCCCATAGCGGTGGTCCGGTCGAGGGTAGGCTCGTCTTTGTGATCGTCACCCCATCCGCGGTTTTCGCAACCGGAGGGGTTGGGCTAACGTCACTTGCCTCGATGGCTCAAGTGTCGCGCTCGGTTTAGCTCGCTAACGGGCATGTCCGAGTGGGGCCCCAGCATCCCGTTTGTGGGGGCCTGGCTTGGGTCAGCTGGTGACGACTCTAGATTCTCAGCGGTCAACCCATATAGTTCGCGGGTCCGTTCGACCAGTCCCGAGGGCTCTCTGCCTTTCTTTGAGGAAAAACCATGGATCGTATCCGATCGAGACTCGAACGTGGGCCGCGATGCCCGCGGCGCTCGTGCGCCCGGGTACTGGCCGCTGGCGGGCCCATCCCTTTCAACCCATCACTCTAAAGGTGTCCCGGAGCAATTGTTGAACCCGTCGGTGGGCCAACCTTCGAACTCCTGGGCCTAGACGAGTCGTAGGAGCATTTT